CCCCCTCTCTCTCTCTCTCTCTCTCTCTCTCTCTCTCTCTCTCTCTCTGCGTCGTCTCTCTCTCTCTCTCTCTCTCTCTCTCTCTCTCTCTCTCTCTCTCTCTTTATTTATATATATATACATAAATCTTTCCCTCTGTCTCTATTTCTCCCTATCTCTCTATATTTTTTTTCTCTCTCTCTTTCTCTCTATCTCTCTCCCTTACATTCTCTCTTATTCTTTCCTTCCCTTGTCTATCTATCTATCTATCTATCTATCTATCTATCTATCTATCTATCTATCTATCTATCTATCTATCTATCTATCTATCTATCTATTTGTGTCCATTTTTTTCCCATTCTCCTGTTTTCTGTTTCATCGTCCATTTTTTCATTCCAACCTTTTTATTTCTTGTTCCTTTTCATAACGTGGGATTTGGTATGTTCCTTCTTGTCTATGATTAGGAATTTTCTTTCTCTCTCTCTCTCTCTCTCTCTCTCTCTCTCTCTCTCTCTCTCTCTCTCTCTCTCTCTCTCTCTCTCTCTCTCTCTCTCTCTCTCTCTCTTTTTTTTTTCTTTTTTTTAAAAACAAATATCTACCTCCACAATGCTTTGATTTTTATTAAAACAATATATGTATACACATGCCGTATTATTCAATTATTCATCTTACTGCCTTAATTTTGGCTCAACAAATATGTCGTAGCTTATTTGAAGCCATGTTCTACTTGGTTCAAACAAATGTTATGGGAGGCCTGCGTAATTTCTGTGTCTGAACAAAGACCACAGAGAGATGCGTCAGTTTCTTTTTGTTTTATTTTGTATGTTTGTTTTGGGTTCTTTTAAAAGTAAGCTGAGTAAGCTGTTAAGTGACGAGGAGCGGAAATAAAACTATAGAATTTTGAGCTTTCTTTTTCATATAATTAATTAAGGATCATCCCCTAAAGCCACAGCAAATGTTTAGGAAATAATTCTCCAGTTGTAAAGAATAATAATATGCTAAACGTTATGAAAAAGACAGACAGCTCCTTGATTTATACGTTATTCAGTTTAGACAACGAAACAAAAATGTTTCGCCGTGTCTTGCAGTTCGTGACGTCATCATGCTGTTTCCAGTGGTTTTGATCGTCTTGGTGGGTGGAGCCGTCTCACAGATCACCACGGGTGCTCCCCACACGCACAAACCTGGTGAGTACATAGGGACAAGGAGGTCACCGATTTATTTTGTCTGTGTGTCTCTCGGTACTAATGTGGTGACCCGTGGAGGGAGGGGGATTGAGGAGAGGAGAGAAGAGGAGAGGAGATGAGAGAGAGAGAGAGAGAGAGAGAGAAAGAGAGAGAGAGAGAGAGAGAGAGAGAGAGAGAGAGAGAGAGAGAGAGGGGGGGGGGAAAGAGACAGACACAGATAGACAGACACACAGACAGACCACAGTCTTTTGAGTCTTTGCATTTGTCCTTCCACTTGAGTTATTCTACGTTCTTTAAAAAGTAGGGCATGTTATAAAAACATTGTGGTGCTTAAAATAATGTTCAGAGTACCCACGTCAAAAACAAACAAAAATTATTGGCATTTTTTTTTCGAACTACGCGCGGATTCTTTCAATTCTTTGTATATTTTAAAGTTTGTGTCTTTGTTTATCATAAACTGCAATAACATTAATCTTAATCATTACCATTTTAAGAGAGATAAAAGGTTTAACTCAACATCAGAGAAAATGAGCCATCGGCTTGCTCTGTTTATAATTACACATGTATTTATCATGGGTGTGTTTGTGTGTTTGTGTGTGTGTGTGTGTGTGTGTGTGTGTGTGTGTGTGTGTGTGTGTGTGTGTGTGTGTGTGTGTAAGTGTTTGTGTGTGTTTGAGTTAATGTGTATGTGTGTATGTGTGTATAATAAATATAAAATGTATATTTATAAAGTATATATATTATATAAATAGCTTAACGCCATCTACAGCTCCTGATCTGGAGTCAGCGCTAGGCAGGAGGGCTCACTTCTCTATGATTTTGGACCTTCTCAGAACGACAGGTCTCCTGACCCAGCTGAAAGCACGTGAGTGGGAGGAGTTGAAGAACAATGTCATAATAATAAAAGTGAAACATTTTACTACTTACCTTCCTACCAATCAATCAATCAATCAATTATCATCATCATCATCATCATCATCATCATCATCATCATCATCATCATCATCATCACCATCATCATCATTATCATCACCATTATCATCATCATCATCATCATCATCATCAATTATTATCGATGATGACCATCGTAATCATCATCATCATCAGCAGCAGCAGCAGCAGCAGCACCACCACCACCACCACTACCACCACAATCATCATTACCACTCTCCTATACCTTCCCCTATCCCAAAATTCACGTCCAGTCCCACAGGTGACTCTGTTCGCCCCCACAAACGCCGCTCTGTCCAGCATTCCTAACGACGAATACCAGGACCTGAAGGCGGACGTCCCGAGACTGACGTCACTCCTCAAGTACCATGTGACCACAGACCAGGCTTTTCACACAACTGGGCGAGCTAACGACGTGGTCTTCAACTCTCTGGACAACAACCTGCCCATCAGAATTAACATCTACAAGATCGTTCACGTGAGTGGAGGGAGTTGATGGTGATTATCCTCAGGAGGAAGAGGAGGAGGAGGAAAGGGATGGAGTAAAGTAGGAGGGCAGAGACACTAGAGGGAGGAAGAAGAGGAATAGAACAAGGAGGATGAGAGAATGGTAGTGGAGGAGAATGAGAGGGGGGAAGAGAAGTAGGAGGAAAAAGAGTGAAGTATGGAGGTGTATAGGAAGGAGGAGGAGGAGGAGGAGGAGGAGGAGGAGGAGGAGGAGGAGGAGGAGGAGGAGGAGGAGGAGGAGGAGGAGAGAGGATAAAAGAGAAGGAAGAGAGGGGGGAGAAAGGGAGGAGGAGCAGGATGAGGAAAAGGAGGAAGAGAGTAGGGGAGAGGAGAAAGATAGAGAGAAGGGGGAGGGAAAGGAGCAGGAAGAGGAAGAGGAGGAGAAGGAGAGGAAATGGAGAAGAAAAAATAAGTGTAACTTTTGTAAAGTGTGAAGTTTGCAAATATGAAGTATGCGCCTTAGCCCGACACCCTAGTTCAGTGTGTGTCAACTTTTTTTATATCCAGCGCCCACTTTTTGCCTCCTTAAAATTTCGTACCACCCACTTACATCTATTTTCAAGTGGGGCTTTTAATAATACCTCTCATTCCCTGGCTGATCCCCAACGACCACCAAAAATAAACAAACGTATAGCCCACTAGAGGGCGATGCCACCCACGTTGGCAAGCACTGCCCTAGTTTTACCCAGAGAAGATTTAAGTCATCAATGTAATTTCTCCCCCCCCCCCCCTTTCACCAGAGCAGTGCTACTGGCTGAAGATGTCTTCAGGCCATTCCCAAAGGGGGGATATTAACATGTTCTTATCATCATCATCCAGTGCCAGATCTGCGACTGACATCGGCGATCATGGTTCTCCGTTCATTCCTTTGCTCGGATGCTCTATAAAAAAGCCACGTTTCCCTGATCTTTCCCCGTTTCCCATTTGTTTAGGTTCCCCAAGTATGTTGTTCTGGGCCTTCCCCTGCCTCGCTTGCCCTCAATTTTGCCAGTGAGAGCTAGATGCTCAAGACCCTTATGTCTATTCAGGTGTTCCAAAAACTGCATTTATCGTTTCCTGATTGTTTTGAACATTGAGCGTCCCACGTGGGCTTCATCAAGCA